ACAAAACTATTGTTGAAAAAGAGTATTTAAAATTCAAAGTCTCAAGTTGTATAGGTGAGTTAGAAGTCCTAGGGTTCGAGTATAGAACGAGAAAAAGAGTCGCCGCAATTTCGCTAGCCTATCGCCCAGCAACGCTCGAGCTGTAAAAATAGAAGTTGCGTCGCCTGCTCGTCGCCTGAATGTCGCTCGAGCGACACATCGTCTCTCGCCTGTCGCTCAGGCGACAATGTATACCGAGAAAATCTAATTATCATTTTTCAAGGTTTTATCCGGCTCATACTATACAAAACCTCTTCACTATGTATATCCACGCCTCCATTTGAAAAAGACGGTTGAACATTGAGAGAAACAAGAGATTACTTCCTTCATATCATTCTATTAGTTCAACCTTCAATTTGATTTCTTCATATCATTGAAAAACATCAACTATACATAAACCAAATACCAAAACACNTCAACCTTCATTTTGATTTCTTCATAGCATTGAAAAACATCAACTTCACATAAACCAAATACCAAAACACATACTTCCATAACATCGTCAGAGTTCTGAAGATCAAGGAAAGTGACCGAAGTTTCGATTGTTGGAGAACCAGAAATTCTCATTGATCCACAGGAATAGACGAATTTTGAAGACTGGGAGTTGGTGCAAGAGCACGCAATTCGGGAGGACTTTGGTGATTACAGTTAGGAGGTCTAAAAGTATTAGAGTTAGTCGAGTCTGACAGTACTGTAAGTTAATTTGTTTACTCGGAGTTTTTACCCAGTTATGGGTTTTCTCCGTCAACAATTCTCAAGTGTTATTTATTTTTCAATAAGTTATTAACTGCGGTAATTCAATATAGGATAGTTGTGTATTTGAATTCATCTGGATTAATTAATAAACGTGACTTGTTGCATTTATTAATTGGTAAATTTAAATTCCGCATAAACACATATTCACCCCCTCTAAGTGTTAGTTTGGTCGAACTTCATTATTTCAAATGGTATTCTTGACCCATATTTACTCTAGATAAGTCAATGTTTTTTCATGCCTCCATTTTTTACGGAAGCAATTATGCATATTAGAAGGTTAGGATGTGAGTATTCATTAAGTTTCTAGATGAACGGATTTGGGTTAGTGTACAAAATGGTTGGACCGCCACTTCCTCTGCTATTTCAGGTATAGTTACCCCCACAAACAATTCTCTTTGGACCAAGGATGAACTAGCTGAGTGCAACTAGAATAGTAAAGGGCTTCATGTCCGGTTTATGGTTGTGTCTGTTGAAGAGTTTAGGAGAGTGCCAATGTGTGAAATCGCAAAAGAAGTTGAGATATTTTAGAGACTACACACGAGTGAACCAAAATTGTTAAGAACTTCAAA